CCCCCACCCTCAGATTTCTCAAACACTTAAAAGTTTGAGGAGAAAATGGTCCCTGGGATGGGAGAGGTACGTGTTCCCTAGAAATCAGCAGCCGCCTGCCCTCTACCATTCCTAAACAGCAAAGCTTCAGCTGGGGCTCTCAGATCGCTCCTTATTTCCCTTTTCTCCTGCTAAACAAAGAAACGGGAACAGATCGCACCCCGATAAAATAAATACCCCGCGTTATTCTAACCCACTGCCTGGATAAAGAGCAGAAAGAGGAGTTTTTCACTTTGTAAAAGAGGAGAAAAAAAAAAAAAGTTCAATAAATAAAATTAAAATAAAATAAACCTGCCGTGAGGGCAGGGTGGCTGCCGAGGCTTCCCCAGAGCTCCAGCCGCCCGGGGATAAACCCTTTGGTGCAGAGGGTTCCTTACAAACCCCGCTCCCCAGCCCAGCTCCAAACTGCAACAGGATACCACAAATTTGCTGTTTATTATATCGAGCGGTTGGCATTCAGCAATCTCAACTTAAAAGGAAACACATGACTTTGCAACATGGAAAGAGCGCTTAATACTCGCCGAGGCTTTCACGCAAAAAAAAAAAAAAAAAACCCAAAAAACTTTTAACCACAATTAACAGAGAAAACTTGGGGAAAGCAGTAAAAGGGGCGAGGGGATTTTTTTTCTCCCTGTTCTTAGTTTGTTTTTATTTCTTTCCTGAGCCTGTAGCCTGCAACTGGTGCTATGCAAGTAGGTGAAGCTCCAGCAAGGCAGCTGAAGGCCATCTAAGAAGACTTTTCAGGAGTGGCTTCCTAGGGTAATTCTCCTTGCAAATTACATGCGAATTATTTGAGAGGTTTCTAAGAGAATCCCTTACACCCGGGTGCAAAGGGAGTTTTTTTTCCTCCCTAAGTGTCATCACAGCAATAGGTAGGCTTGTAAAAGAGCACAGATGTCAATGAGCAGCGAATATAGCGAGGGGTTTCAGATGGGTACAGCTAGAAAAGGCAGAAACACCGAGCGTGGAAGGCGCCGTGGGTGTTCATTCATTCCCACGTGAAGGTTATAGAGACACAGGGACAGGCAGAGCGGAGCTGGAAAACCTTCCCTGCCACTACAACAGCGGCCACAGGACCGCTGGGGATTTTTGTCAGTGTTTTTTTCTCTATTTCCAGATAGAATTAGTCAGCACAAATACACGCCTAGAGACAGGCACAAGCAAAGGAACTGATAAACCCAGCCTATATCTGCCCTCCCGCAGCTCCGGCCTCGCCAGCAACCATCCACCTCTCCAAAGGATTTTTTTCCTTTATTTCCCCTTCTCTTTCTTAAGGAAAAAAAAAAAAGAGAGAGAGGAAAAAAAAAAGTACATATAGCAAGGCTGAAATCAGGCCAGCTCATTTTCCAACCCCAAATTCTTTTCTTTCCGCTACCAGTCTTCTCCAGAAAGTATTAAGCTACTGAACCATGAAGGGACCCTCTCACCCCTCTGCACACGCACACGCTGAGCGGGGCCGGGTCGTGGGTCAGTGGTTGAGACTTTCCCTGCAGCTGCCCGAGATGGGCTCGGATCTGCAGCTGCCTGAAACCTTCCATAATTCCAGGTGAAAGGAGTTTTATGGAGGAATTTATCAGCGAAAGAGCCTTGCTCTAGAGCAGGCAGGTGGGGTGCAGAGACTGAGGGACGGGGGAAAAAGTGGGGGGGTGGGAAAGGCATGAATCCCCCGATCCGGACCTACCTTCCCGATTTGGTAATGACCATCTCCGTCCCTCTTTTATGGAATTGCTCCCAAAGTTCTTTGGCTTCCAGATGCACTTTCGGATCATCTTCCACCTCTTCTTCTGGCTCCAGAGTTTTTAAAGGCCTCAGATGAGCTGCTGCCTGGTGACCCAGGGAAGAAAAGGGGATACCAGTCTCTGTAGCCCCCACTAACTGATCCATAATGGGTTTAGCCAGAGCCCCGGGAAGTGAGAGGGCAGCCGCCCCGTTGGGAGGCAAAGCCAGAGCCGGGAAGAAGGGAGGTTGATGTCCCAACACAGCGCTCATGGCAAAGTCCGGTGCCCGGTGAGGTAAAAAAGGATGATAAGCCATGCTCGTCCCAGGGATTACTGGATCTCTCATCGGTATATTCATCCACTCCACTCCTTGGTCTTCCTACTGCTGGAGTAGTCCCGGAGTGGTTTCTAACAGCATATCATGAAGAAGAAAAATTAAGATAAAAACACTAACAGCAATAAAACACCAAAAAAAAAAAATAGGGTGGAGGGGAAAAATAAACTCTAGACAGCACAGTACATGAGGGGAGAGGCAGAACTTCTACAGCCTACAACTTCCCGAGCCGGGGTACATCCCCAGCCCTCGGGACAGCGGATTAACAGGATTGTTCATTATTAGTCTTGCGCTTTTTTGTGTGTTCGGTCTCTGCAGGGTTTTGTTTTGGTTTTTTTTCCTGAGTGAAAGTCCTTGCGCTGGAAAAGAAACGCTGAAGACGGGGAAAAAAATAATAATAATTAAAAAAAAT